ATAGAGAAATTTTAGTAAAAATTAAGGACGAAAATTTGATACAAAATGAGCCTATATAAGGTTCCTTGTTCTAGCTAGTACTGCATTGCCATCTTCATCAGGAGTAGTAGTGCAAATGGCTCCAATGCAAGAGCTAGCTACAAGCTCCATTAGTCCCTTGTTTTTGTCCCTCCTTCTCTCTCTCTCCATGGTACTTCTTTTTCTTAAACTCATCATAGGAAGACGAAGCAAACTCAACTTCCCTCCTTCCCCACCAAAGTTGCCTCTCATTGGCAACCTACACCAGTTTACCAGCCTTCCTCACCGCTCTTTCCAAGCCCTCTCCAAGAAATATGGCCATCTCATGCTTTTACAGTTGGGAAAGTACCCAACCCTTGTGGTGTCTTCGGCCGATATGGTTAGAGAAATCACAAGGAACCATGATATTGCTTTCTCAAACAGACCTAGGACAACGGCCGCAGAGACCTTGCTTTATGGATGCCAAAATCTTGTTTTTTCACCCTTCGGTAAATACTTGAGGAAAATCAAGAAGATATGCACTGTTGAACTCTTGAGCCATAAGAAGGAGCAATCCTTCATGTTCATAAGAGAAGAAGAGGTTGGCTTAATGATAGATAAAGCACACAGCGCATCTCTTAAAGGGGACTCGATTAATTTGAGTGAGATGTTGATGATTGTTGCAAATAATGTAATTTCGCGGTGTGTGATGAGCCAGAAGGTTGAAGAAGAAAATGGTCGAAGCAGGTTTGGAGAGTTGTTTAGGAGGGTGATGATATTTGTTTTTGCAACTTATAGTATCGGGGATATTTATCCTCACTTGTGGTGGCTGGATGTGGTTACGGGCTATATCAAAAGTTTGAAAGCATTTTCTGGGGATATGGATGGTTTTCTTGATCAAGTCATCCAAGAACGGGGGATTGGGTTGAACATGAAGAACCATGGCAAGGAAGACTTTTTGGATATTCTACTCCAACTTCAAAAGAATGGCATGCTTGAGGTAGAGCTAACTCAAAACAGCATTAAAGCAATCATATTGGTACGTCTGCATTCTTCATTCTTTCTGATCTCTCTTTGGGTATAATGTCCCTATATGTTTTCTACTTCTTCTTCTTTTTTAAACAAGGACAAATTTTTACAAGTATTCCTACTATGCTATGGGGGATGGGGGAAAGGGATCCTAGGAATTGAACATCAAATTCGGGTGGTGTTTTCACTGGAAAACAAGTGACTAACCACTTGACCCAAGTGTATAAAACTTTCTACTTTAATTCACAATGGTATATATATTTGCAGGACATGTTTGTTGGAGGGACGGATACTACAGCTGTAACCACGGAATGGGCAATGACTGAACTTATAAGGAATCCAAAGGTGATGGAGAAGGTCCAAGCAGAGGTAAGAAGTGTAGTGGGGAAGAAATCGAAGGTAGATGGAGACGATATAAAGCAGATGGATTACTTAAAATGTGTCATCAAAGAAACTTTGCGATTATATCCACCTGGTCCTTTGTTGGTCCCACGAGAGACGGCTGCAAGTGTCAAACTGGGAGGGTATGATATTCCCTCCAACTGTAGAGTTTTCATCAATGCATGGGCAATCCAGAGGGATCCTGAGTTATGGGATAGGCCGGATGAGTTCATCCCAGAAAGGTTCATGGACAACTCAATTGATTACAGACGCCATGATTTCCAGTACATACCATTTGGTTTTGGAAGAAGGGTTTGTCCAGGGCTGTCGTTTGCGGTTATGTCAGCTGAGTATTTGATCGCCAACCTTCTATATTGGTTTGACTGGAAATTGCCATACGGTACAGTTGCAGACAACCTAGACATGGATGAAGTTTATGGGTTAACTCTTAGCAAGAAAGTCCCTCTCCATCTCATACCAATTAATGTCACCTAGGTTTGCTAGTTCTAGGTTGGCGATGCCTAACCAATTCCGTGTCCGATTTAAATCATTAAATAATCATTAATAAACCTTTGCCTTGTTATCACTTTAGTGGTAATAAAGGTCTGCTTCTCTAAGGTATTTACTATTAAGATAACACTGGATTAGTTTTTTTTTTTTTTTTTTAATTTCTCAGCATCTGATAATAATATTAAATCTCGATTAATTTAAAATCAAATCACATCAGATCTCATAAGGGAAAAGCTCTCTCAGCGTTTATTTCTCCATTCACAAGATTTGAACTCGAAATCTTATTTAAAGAAAATTAAGTTCCTTTCAATCAGACCAACAAGTCGTTAGTATCATTGGATTAGTTTTTGTGCAACACTAGTTCATTTCTAAATGATTTTAAGGATACACTCTCTATGTTGATCTAATGCATGTAAAGAAATTAATTTTTTAAATACTAACCCCACAACTTAAACTTTAAACCTAAGATATAAGTGGACATTTGTATATTAGTTGATTCAATGTTGGGGTTGTCATAAAGGTCTGTACCCATCTTATTGCAGGCAGGTATTTATTTGGCTTAACAATACATAAACAGATGAGGAAGATTTGACTAGGAAATAATTTTAGTATGATCTATAAGGGGAGATGATAAAAGGAATCTTATGTCCCTGAAACATAAAAATAAAATGAAGCTTGATCAGTACCTAGTCACTTGTCAGCCAAAAAATACCTTACCATCAGGATACTATACTGCAAAATCCCCTACAAAGCCAAAATAAATATATAAAGAATCTTATGTTAAGTCAAGCACGCCTTCAGGGAATTTAATATGTGTGCTGACTTTTTGTCTAAATTAGGCCACTCTCTGTCTACTAATTTTGTTGTTTATGATGACTGCCCTCCGAGCCTTGATGTATATTTGGCTACTGATATGACTGGGGCTGAATATCCCAGATATGTACTCTAATTTTTCTGTTTAATTCCATCTCATCCTTCCACCAAAAAAAAAAAAAAAAAAGGAATGTTAACAACCATATAATCTACTAAAGAATCGGGTGGATAAGTCGAAGAATAAAACACACTAAAATGTGACGGGGGCTTCTTTGGGGATCATGCAAGATCTAGTGCAATGGTGGAAGTCTTGGGCTGCTCAGCAAAAGGCGACAGTCTCCACTCTCCAAGATGCCAACTCACATTTCCTAAAACCATAACAGTAACGAACATAACTGGCTGAGACTTGCTTATCTTTTCCAGGTTATAGGTGCCAACTGCAGATCTAAGACTTTTTTATAGGGGACATGTGCCGAGGACCGTCCCTCTGGAAATGCAGTAAGAGACTGGGTAGAGCTTTGTTTATGGGGCACAAGAAACATGATCAGAAAAAGGAAAATCATCTCCATCTTATTTAGCTAGTGATTACATTCAGATGACACCAGTCTGCCCAAGACATAAAACTGCCAAACATCTAGTAAAGTGGTCAAAGCTGAAGATGAAACCAAATAAAGCATGGCAAGAACAATGCGGCTAAGTAAAGCAAATCAGAGTAGAAGACATTCAACAATCACTGCTAGCTTTTACATAGACAGGAACATGTTGTGCACCTGTAAAATCATAATGTTATTCACGTTATCTCCAGATTGAACACATCTTGTATAAGCTGCAGTAATAAATAATTGAATCAGGTTTGCATCTAAAACTAAACAATGCATGATGATCCACTTTCATTTGAATCTCCAACCACATCTTTAACTTTACCATGTTAACAAGTTAAAACAATAACCTGATCTGCTTCCAAGCATTCAATGCTCGCTCCTTGTATCCCTCTCATCAATTACCACAGAATCAAGAGGTAATGGTGACAAACTTTCATCAATTCTGAGAACTAACAGCTAACAATATTCTAATGCCGCTTAGACATAGTAATCCTTCAAAGAACTAACCTAAAGTCCAACTTCAACTGACCTTGCAGTAAATGCTTCCTGTATGTTATCATCAATCCAAATGACAAATGGCGTTGCATAAAACATACAACAGCAACCAGCATGCAATCAGAGTATACATAAGCGGAATAGAATATGGATGGAAGCTAAGAACTAAGACAAGAATCGTGAGTATTGAATACGAATTCCTTAACCATACAGTAATTAATCACATGGAAATAATCTCAAATTTTCATAATCAAAGCAAAATGAAGCAGGAAAAGAAAAGAGGACTGAAGAGACGAATATATGTTGAGAAGGAGGAGGAGATTGCCTCTGCGCAGTACAATCGAGGCTCGACCGTCCACCCAGCCTCGCTGCCTTGGCAGCGAGGACGTCATTCATATCCGCACACGCAGGGAGAGAGAAATTACCGTGTTGCCTCAAATCAGCCAGCACACGGCTGGTGATGGCGCGGGGATGGCGCGGCAGTGGCGCTCTCTGAGCTCACTACTGCCGCAGCAGCGGCGGCAGTTGCAGCGAATCCCCGAGGACGTCGAGGTTGAGGTTGGAGGGCCTCAATTGCCGGATCAATGGAGCGACTGATGTTTGCTCTCCGGCAGCATTAGCAGAGGAGTGAGGGATTTGCATATTTTACTGTATGGTTTTAGTTTGTACTCAACTCGTTGTTTCAGAATTCCACTATTCTCTTTCGGAATTGGCTTTCAGCACTCTTTCTAGTTTCTACAGGTAAGTTCAAACTTAAAAAATAATTAAAAATTAAAAATTAAAAAATATATATATAAAAAAAAGGGGAAAAAAAGAGCATGTTTGTTTTTCTGTGTAACAGGATAGGAGAAAAAACTGAGAGAAAATGATTTAGGAAGAATTTTTTGTATTATTTTTTAATATAATTTTATATGTTATCTAAATGATTAAATTTTATTTATTTATTTAAAATTTATGATATTAAATATGTTTATTTTTTTAATATATGTTAAAATACCAAAAAAGAAAAATTAATTCCGATATCAGCACTCAAAACCGAGAAACTGATATAACAGCAAAGTGGGTTTGGTCGTGGGCTCAACGAAGAGGGTAAAATGGGTTTTGCAGGATTGTTTGATATGGGCTTGGACCAACTGTTTTATACATTTTTTTTTTGTCATCCTGTAACATGCTTCATCCTCTAAAAAACTATGGCAAATGAGGAATAATATGAATCCTAAAACTTTTTCTAAAAAATGTGGGATCTCAGCATTATGACAAAGGACACTCATAGAAAGATGGAGTCGTCATGCACTTTGAATAATGAAAGGAGCCGCTTTGCCTGTGATAAAGGGGTGGAATTATACTTATGGAAATGTGATAAAGAGGGAATATATTAATAATATTTGTTGGTCAAAAAGAAGAGATTGAACAGTGAATATCTCATCCCTCTTCCTCCGACCAAAGCAAATCCTGTCCTTTTCTCCTTTCTTGTGGGAAGAGACATGTAGATTGCAAGTTCAGTCCATTTCTACCAACTTTTAATTGGCATTAAGCAGTCAAAAACAATCAACAATAGATGGTAAAGAACGTGCTGGCAGAAAAAGGCTGAACTTCCTAATGCATCACGCTCGACATCATCTTTTCTTTTTCCCCTTTTTCATTTTTGTTTAGAATATCCGGGGCTTGTCCATGTTCTTCAAGCATAAAGCTAGAAGCTAGCTCGGACTCTAGTTCTCAGCAGGTAACGGATCCGATCTGCAAATATCCCCACGACAGAGAGGACATACCCTGTTGTATGCCAAAGAAAAGAAAAGTTAGCTAACAGTCTTCATTTGGAAAAAAATAAATAAATCATATGGTAGCACAATTAGCCAAACAGAATGATACGAAAACTATCCAATTAACAGTGACCAATAATGACAAGTAGGGTATTGTGGGCAAAAAAGTTTGGCAAGTATGTTTTTATGTAATTCATGCAGAATAATACATGTACTCTCTCCTAGGTGAAATAAAATTTAAGTTTGGCCCTGAGGCCAAAAGATATGACTCCTTTTCTTTTGGCTAAGTTAATTTGACATTTTAGCTAAAAATTGTAGCTGATGAAACCTTGTGGTTCTAGAAAACGTATAAGTCAATTTTACAAATAGAGCAGGGCTCCATTCAGGAAACAAGAGCACAAGAAAATTATTAATAGTGAGCATCAAGGAAACAAAACAGGCAATGACTACAAAGACATGGCTCCTATGTGATATCAGTTATCCCTGGGACATAAGTTGTTATACTGGTCACACCAGACAGAGAATATACAGGCCGGCTTTAATTCCCCTTTGTCCCCTATGCCATGTTAGCCAATAAGATGGTTGGCACATCAATGCATGAAAGCTTGCGAGTAACAACTCCTCCCTTAGCTCACATTAGACTAAGACTAGAAATGTACCCCACACTCAAGTTACATGATTACCATAAAAACCTAGTTTGAACCAGCCTAGAGTGAGCTGTAAGATAATAATCTAATCAACAATCAAACTTAGAAACCAAGCCAGCTATAGCTGGACTTTTCAGCTCATAAGCTGCCCCCTGATATATAACTAAACTTAGTTTTCTTGGCTGGTGAAAATGTAACTGCAAGGATTCTCACAAAGTCTTCAAGTAAACTTTATACATGGTATTTCCATCCACCCTAAGCCCAAACTTCCTCTTATCCATAAATTACCTAACAGTCAATCTGCACTTCTACAGGATCTTTAAGCTTTTCCTAGTTGAATGTACTCAAGCCTTTTAACACTGACTCATTCTCACTTGAGAGCCTCATTTATGGTCAGCTGGAAGCTAAATCTCAAATCAACAAGAGAAAACAGACTAAGAGAGAGCCATGTCAAACCTGTGAATCTCCTTCAGCCACTTGTCTATACATGATTTATGAAATTCATGGTTGCAGGGCAGTATCCGCAGGCTATCCCCATCCTCATACTCCACAAGGCATATGTAACATCTGTTAATTACATAAGGTAACAATAAGACTAACACAAAAAACACCAATGCAAATCACATACACAAAGGAATTTATATAAGAAAAAGTGTTAAGGTGCTGAATCTCATATCTGAAACAATACTAGGTTTAGTGTAAAATTATAATAAAAAAAAAAAAGAAAAAAAAAAGGGGTAAAGAAATTAGGAAAGAAAAAGAAATCTTCTAATTGAATGAAGACATGAGTCACAGGACACATATCCAGCTCACTACTTAGTCCAGATGCAAAGATGTCTATCCATTAGTAGTAGTTCAGCACAGAGCATTAATTATTTCAATTAATATTTGAATGTTTACTATGATCAGGAACTGGCTTAATTATTTTGCACAGAACCCTTAAGAAAATTATGTAGATGCATCTGTACATCTTTAGGTTCACTTACTTCTACTGCCCACTCCCAAGATTCCTCCAGTAATCCAAGGTTACATAACAAATGAAGTCAATCATCCCTCATGGAGGATTGCCATTAAGATGTAAATGCTCAATAAATGGAAACTTTGGTTCTAGATGCTATGTATTGCAGAACTATTTTCAACATGAGTTATACCAACTTTACTAAAGGCTTACTTATAAAAAAACTGATAGGCCAATGACAAAACAAATATTTTTGGTTACTGCCATTAATTACACTTCTTTCTCTATCTAATGGTCCTATTTTCCAAACTCCTCAGAAGAAGCCTCATCTTCAACCACATGGACCTCCCAGAATTCCCTCAAGGTTCTTAACAAAGATTGCTCACCAAAACAACTCTCCAAGAAAACATCTATTTGCATAAAAACATCAATCTGCCAAATGCAGCTAGCTATGATCACCATCACAGCATTATCCCAAGGCCCAAGCACCATTAAGCCTAGCAGTGACTTGGTAATTTCAAACATTTCTTAGTTCAGATTTCAAACTGTATGGAGAAAAGACGGATCTAGTAAATGAATAGCATATTGTTCATGCAGTTGCAGCATGATGCTTTCCCTGCTACTGTCTTTACCAGCAAAAAGCAGATGTCTACCCAGAAACCTTAGTACTAAGGCTTTATTTAATTTACTAAATTTATTTGTTTTGTGAACAAAAGGGAAAATCAATTGCGGGCAGAATTCAAACTCTAATGCCTCCAACTCTAATCCCAATAAATAAATAAAAAAAAAAAAAAAAAGCACAACAACTAATCAACTTCATCAATGGTTTAAACCTTAAGCTAAATAGCTCACAGAAGAGAAACATAAATACTCACTGTGCAGCCTCATCAGTCTGAAGCTTGTGTGACTTAGCATATATCTTGATAGGCAAAGATTCCACAACATCGTTAGGTGCAGGAACAGATCCAATTGAAGACACTGACTGTCGGGAGGATAAAACTACAGATTGCTGGTGAATTTCATCCAGAACCTAATTAAACACATAAGGATTAAGCTCAGAGATGGATAAATGAAAGCAGAAAACAGGAAACACACAAAAAATTGGAAAAGGTTAGAACAGAATAAAATTACCTCAAATAAAGCTTCAGCTAACATGACAATTCTTGATATGCTAGCCCTAGCACTTGCATCGTCATTTGAATTTGAATCCCTATTATTTACACGGCATGTGCATCGGCCACTTCTGTGTTGACCAGATAAGATACAAGACCTCTCATGTCCAGACAAGTTCTCAAAACGACTTCCTAATCGCTGAAGAGCACGAACCTGAACAAGAAATAAGTCAGTCACTAGCTGACTCTGACAAATCCACAAAGATGGGTAATTTTCAACATACAGCAGAATGGCTTACAGGCAGAAATCTAAGTAGGCAGCACAAGTAACTTTCGAATAAAAAAATGAGGATAAATGTTAGTCTAACTAATGTCCCTGATTTCTTATTTGTGTTCTCATTTCAGGACTACAAACCTGAGATCGTATTCTTCTTCTCCTTTCAAGGAAATTTGATCTATGTTCCAGTAAATCATGATACCTAGCCTCTCTCGATCGTGAATTTTCTACCTCAGGGTTCTGAGTGTTGAAAATGGAACTAGACGTACTGGATGCAGTAGGAGCAGATGACGGTGGAGAGGTTGCCGACAACCTTGTCTCACCTCCCAAAGTCACTGTTTCACTGGGCTGCCTAACATCATCTATCACTTCCCTCGCTTGTTGCAGGGGGCAAACGGTGTGATCAGATAGCGATGATCGACGAAGAACACGGTCACGAAGTCTTCCCACACTCAATGTCCGACTAAAAATAACATTCCGCTCAGCAGGCTCTCGAGCTCCGATCCGCCTACTATCAACATCATTAAAAACCCTAGAAGAATGAGCGTTCACATCAATCCCCATTCTGGTGCCACCACCTTCTCTGGCTCCGTCGATTGTCAAAGAAATTGACCGATTTCCTGTAAAACTGCTAGAACAATTAGATATTGGGATATCTCCAGAGGAATCTTCCGGAGGTTGCGTCGGAGTTCTGGTCCGTTGATTTGAAATTCCATCACCGAAGTCCCTCGGCGGCTCTGAATGTAGACAAATCTCATTTTCATTGTTCAACATCGCGAGACTCGTCGGAGAAGCAGGATACGCCCTTGATGATCCCAAACTTTTGGCTCTGTTCAATCGGAAGCTCACATTACCAGGGATGAGGTTAAAGCGAGAAAGAAAGCGACTCGTAGCAGAGGAGGCAGAGCTGCTACCGGCTCCCGAGGCTTGACTCCAGTCATCAAGCTCGACATTGGAAGAAACACACGGCCTATTCTCATCCGATTGTTCAACTCTAACCTTTCTGTAAGCATCAATTTTCACCTGGAAAACATCATCAGATAGTACATTGAAGATAAAACAAAATTAAAGAAAAAAAAGGAAAAGCAAGAGAGATGATAGAGAGACGAGACCTGTTCGTCAACATCAGAATTACGAGATCCAGATGGCGGCCCCAGACACGACTGGAAAACCATACTCTTGCCTTTAGATCTCCTCCTCCGCCCCCCACTGCCCGTCCCCGACACCGACGACGATGCACCTCCGCAAGACGCCTTGCTCCCACCAGATCCCATCCTTTTTTTTCTTCTTTAACCCTCACACGTTACTGTATTTTACGTCATTGCCACAGAACAGCCAATCTCAACTTTCCCCGCCTTCAAAGCAATCCGATTGAAAACGCATGCATTTGTATTCGAAACACAGTTACCCTCGAAACGACATTCAAATTACATTAAAGCCACTGAATAAAAAATTTAAAAAAATTCACCCCCATTAATAGGTTTTTCAGATCTGAGAACAGTTTAGTGCCGAGGAGGAGGAGATGTTGGGATTTCTGTAAAATTAAAGCTAAAAAACAGCTTTTTAATTTTTGAGATCAAGTTTTGGTTTTTGGGCGATGGGATTTCGAAGGAGACAGAGCAACTTGCAGAGAGAAGGGAAGAGGAGAGATGTGGAAAGGAGGCTTTATAGGGAAGGAACAGGGGAGGGGGAGTGAGTGTCCTGGTTTGAAATTTTTTTGTGTAATATAGAGGGAACATGGCGTCTTCTGTGCCTGCATTTTTGGAGGGATTTGTTTTCGTCTCCTTGCAAGAACACTAACTACGTTGATGACGTGGCTGTTTAAGCCAGTCATGAAGCGACACATCATCCTTTGTTTAGTTCAACGACCTCTCCTCGCCGGAAAACAGCCCGGCAGAGTAACGGAAATTCCGTTTTAAAAACTATTATCTAAATATATTCAAAGTGGAGGAAGCAGAGCTTTTGAAATTCTGCATATCAGGGAATTGGGATGGAAATCGAAGTAACAGCAGCAAGCTCAAAACAATAATTTTCCAGAGAGTAGATTTAAATAATCAATTGTTTTCCCTTCCGAGGAACCATGTAGAATGGTTACATTAACACCGTGGAGGGATGGAGTTCCTAAAAACAGATTAAAATGCATTGAAGTAGTCAATGTTTTCGACTTAGAAGCCATGCAAACTGATCTACAGCCACCATTGCGCGGGATGCTGATCCAATTGAACCCTCGTATCTGCCACAAGTGGATGAGAAGTAAGCTAAAATGAGAATGCTTGGCAAATTAAATCCACAAGGTTCCCATATCTTGCTGATATATGTTTGCTGAATGTACTTACAGTGCAACCAAGAGAAGGGTTGATATCTGCATAACAATGGCACCTTCTCCGGCAGGTATTGTTGAGTTCAAGCACCTTGCTGAGAACCAATTCTCATGAATTGAAGTAACCATATCTATTGTCAAATGAGCAAAAGAACCTAGATCATGCAATTGTATTGCTGAATTACACTTGAAAGGAAAACATGTTCAGGGGCTTCAGCAAAACTTACACTGGTTCTGCCCAATAATGAAGCTCTCAGTTTGTAGTCTGTTGCACTTGACAAAACTGATAAATTCACTCAGTTCAATTGGACTGACTTTTATTATTCCTTCTTGTTCAGCACTGCAAGCACCATCCAGATCAACCTTCAGATTTATTTCCAGCAAAATATGCAAAAGAATGAACAATGAGTATGATGGCAATGATGATAAGGCAATAAGAAAATGACTATAGGAAGATTGTTTTTAGCAACTTATATTAAACATGAACAAAAAATGAACTGAAGAAATGATATTTCCTGCCCCTTAGTGGCCATTAGTGATTAACAGGGTAGAAAATTACGCTAGCATTAATAATCAGCTGAATCATTTCACAAGCCATGCCAACTTAACCATTACCAAGGAGAAGAAAATTTCCTATAAGTAGAATGTGACAGATAAACTGAACAGATTTATAAATCAGAACCATCTGACCATCTTAAACCAAATACAGCAAATGCTTTCTAGATCAAATCCATCCACATTTTTTACATTTATTCATATCAACAAAAACATATACCAACAAATTCAGTTACAACAATCCGATGGGACCGAACCATTTGCTAACCTGAACACTTTAAACATAAATTTTTGTTGAACTTAATCCCATTCCTAGAAATATACCAATCAAATCCATGTTAAAAACCAATTCTACCAACACAGTCCAAAAGATCGAAAACTATAAACCATATCCAGACAAACATAACAATTCCTCAAAGCATGAACAGCCGAAACTCACTTACATGGTAGACAACAGGCGAGATGGTGCAGTCCGATCATGGTTGATCAGCAAAGCAGCTCTCAATGGCTCACCTACAAGTTCAAACAACCACAAATTTTAAACACTTTTTCCTAAATCATGTTACACATGCACTATCTATCTGTATATGAGTATATCGAATTATCGATGCTCATAAAAATAACGTAGGTAACTAGCAAAAAGCTCAAACTGCTCACCAGAAGAGCCAATGTTGGTGGAAGCCCACTTCTCCCAGGCTTTATGTACCAAATTCCAATCCATTGCACCTGATGAGCAATATACAATCTCAAGCTTAAGTCTAAAAATCCACTTTCCTTTCACTAATTAGAGATGCAACACAACATAACACAATCAAGAATGCAATTTAGGGTTTTCACACTTAATTCAATCAGACTAAGGAAAAATAGCACAAAACTTTCCGATGGGCATAGAATGAAAACATACCAAGTGCTGAACTATAACTGCGGTTACAACCACGCTTGGAGGCGACTAGGTGAATACTCGAGAAATATAACTAAGGTTATGGGGTTCTCGCTTCCAAATCTTCCCAAGCTCTCACCATCAGCACCTAGAACTTCCTTGACTGATATAAGATGCTTAGGCACGTTAGGAAATTACGGGAAATATGTCTGCGTCTGGGTTAGGGTTTTGTTTAAATAGGGAATGGAATTCCGCTGCTGCCGTAGCGACGGAGAAGAAGAGTCGTCACGGAGGAGAAGGGTAGCGGCACTGCTGTCTGCAACAGCCAACAGCATAAGCAGTGATTTTTGGGCTTTGTGTTGTGAGATCCATGTTGGATTTTACATTTTAAGCTTCCTGTCTGTTTGTTTTGGGAGAATGTCGTTAAATTTGGACTTCTGGTGGCCTGAAAAGAGTTTGTTTTGGGCTTTGGTTCTGGTTTCGGGCTTTATCTGGACTTCATAAAATATCATGCTTTTCTCCCAGTGAGTATGGATTGTGACCATTCAATTATTGATTTGTTTTCTTGGTCAAAATACTACCAAAAAGAGTTTGTTGGTAAAAATATATATAAATAGAGTAATTTTTTTCATTTTTTGTGTAAATAAATTGATTTCTCTATAAAAATTGAAAACTAATTTTTAACATCATGTACAAACTATAAATGATATTTTATTTTACAATTCAAATTATATCAAACTATAAAATAAAAATTTTTAAGTAAAGAAACAGTCATAATATTAAAAACTCATTCTCTATCCAATAGCTATTTTGTAGAGCTTTTTTATTCTTTTAAACAAATAAATATGGACCATGGTCTACATATGAGATTACACTTTTGGAAAATGCATAATGCCATGTTTTTGCATAACGCCTTCAATAATACATTTCTTGTAAAAGTTATGATTCAGAATCTGGGGCTTGGCAAGTAGGATTGCAAGGGTAAAGGCAATCTATCTTCTGCACCAAACCCCTTTCATTAAACCAGTCTCCAACAGCCACAGCAATTTTCTGCATTATACATTAATTTTCATTCAGAAGAGAAATATCAGTATAAGTGACAAACAAAAGTAGAAAAGGGGAGGGGGGGAGTGAGGGAAAATGGAGGAAATAAACTTACTGTATTAGCAACTTGTGTAGAACTGTCACTCAACCATGTCAGCTGCCTCCCTGATTGACAGTGAGCATAGCAAGAGTCTATCCACATGCCTATCCTCAAGGAGTTACCAGCTGCTCTGGTCACTGTACTGACAAATTGTCCCCTGTAATCTGAAAATGAGCCCAGAGATTATATAGATTCTTGACTTTCTAGAATCTTCCACGTGCATGTTCGCAAGAGTTGATTGAAAGAAAAATGAGAACATAGGCTGTAAATGTAAGCTTCATTGCTAACTTGGTAGTTACCTTGAATTGTTTGGAGTTGAGCAGCTGAGCATGTTGTCAAATTGAGCTTGCAGTTTTTCCATTGCTTTTTAGGATCAGCAGCACTTGGTGCCAAAATGTTCTTAATCTACAAAGATGATTAATCCAAAGATTAATTGATTAATCCTTAACATATTTTTTTTCCTTTCTACTTGAGATGAGGGAATGTGCTTTACCTGCCAGAAGTCATAAGCTGAATTTATGAAAAAGATTGGGGTTTGCATGTAGGGGACAACATTTTGAGGGAAGAAACACTGCAATTAATGATGATCATAAGAAGTATTGATAAGAGAAAACAAGAGGAACTGAACAAGAATGAAAATCGTTTCAAAATAATCCCACTCACCAATTCTGGACTCATTCTTGAAGTGCAGGATGCTGGCAAATTCTTATCTGATCCCTGCACCACAAAAGTAATGCAAGTTAACGACCATTTTTCTTCGAGCTCAGGTTCATAACATTGTTCTTGTGGAAGAAAGAAAAAAGAAAACAAGTTTGAGACGAGTATGTACATGAGTTGCAACTACTTGACTGTAGAAGGTTTGGATAAGGGACCCTCCAGAAACATCCTTCCTGTCAAAAGATAGAGAATGAGATGGTGTTAAAATCTACCGTGGATTTAGATATAATCAATCCATGTAGAAGATATGTTTGTTCCCATCTTACGCGTTGAGGAAGAAGCCAGCATCTGAAATGCATTTAACCTTGGTAGTTGTAGGAAATAGAGATCGAAATCTGTCACAATTCAAAATGGAAGCCAATCCACCAGCAGAACAACCCGAAAGAATAGCCTGCCATTACAAGCTCAATCAGATTGTTGATATTGTAGACTATATAGATTACAGAGATTGAGAGACTCAATAGGGTTAAACGAATGATTGAACATTGTCTTACATTTTGAGCATTTTTCATCCCTTTTGCTAATAGATCATCCATGATTGCCCGCCAAACTCTCGCTCCTCTGAAGTAGAGCTGATTAGCCTGAAAACATTACCATTACATCATTAATAAACACTTACTAGTTCATTTTTTCTTTTCTTTTAGGAACAAGGTAATTGAATTTCTGACTTATAAAAGTACTTACTGGATCAACTGCTTCAATATCACCAGTAAAAGATGAACCATCACAATACCTAACCTTAATTCTGTTCCAATTGTAAAAGTCTACACATTCAAATAAAATCAATCAGTTAAAAAAGAATCCAAAAGCAGGATATGAACTGGTGAGTACTGATTAATTCAGTCTTTATACCGGGATTAGAACTTTGCTTGCTGCCAAGAATCCCAGAGAAGCCAAATGACTTGACCATAAGCTTTGATGAGCCTGTATCAGTTTTCTTGCGAGCCACACAAGTCTCGATGTTATTGCACCATCCTCCTCCCTACTCATCCCATGATCCATATCAAGAAAAAGCATATCATAAGTCCATTCAAATTTCAAAATAATATATCATGAAAGTTTGGCTGTGCCAGGAGGACTAATTATATACCTCCATATGAACCAACCAGTTATTAACTCCAGAACCAAACCCCTTATCGAAATGGTAAGCCGGCGGGCTTCCATCCAAGCAAACTGCAGGAACAGAGCCAAATTCACACAAATCAGAAAAAATTTCACAATATAACCAAAAAAAAAAAAAAAAGGAGAGATTCGATATGGCAAGATCTATTACCAGCTCCTTTGGCCACAGCACTGTCTAGATAAGTAATTCCAACTCCAGCACCTTCTGCTTTCAGCAGTATCAGTATGCAAACAAGGAGATATAGCCATTGGCCTGCTTTTGCTTTTGCATTCACCATTCTGTCCATTTTGACAAGTTGATGTAATACCAAAAAGAATAAGTTGAAGGAAAATAACAGAAATGATGATAAATTTCAAATGGGACATGAGGTTATATAAGAAACAGAGAAATGTCAATTCCATTCGCATCCTGCGTAGTATTTATTTATTTAAACAATTTATTTCATTTGTTCTTTTGTTCCTACACGTTGAACATCCCGCATTTTTCGTTCCTTACTCTTTTATAAAGTCAAAAATATACCAACAAAAATTTAGTTAAATTGATATTTATTAATTTAAATTTTATAATTTTAAGTTGAAATCAAAAGTTCAAATCTTTGCAATTTTAACACTTAACCCCATTTAAAAAAATAAAAATAAAAAAAAAGAAGAAGAAGAAGAAGTCAGAAATATATTCGTAATTAAATTCTTTTAGGCAAATGCTAGATCTTATCCTGTAATTTGTTTATTATTTTCTACGGACAAGACACTGTTGGACCATGTGTCTAAGTTCCAAAATCACCCATAGATTCACAATGCAACTGCTTTCTTTCCAAACCATGGAATGAAAAAACTCAAGTTCCGTGTGGACCGACTAATCTCCTAAAAACCGGCTGAACAAAACAGCCAGAAGGCTAGCATGACTCGACCGTAAAAGGTGGCCATAGAGGCACCAACCAAACCAACCACTGCCTAGGGCTGGGCATTTTCTAACCGAACCGATTGTTTACCCAAAAACCGAACCGAAAAAATGAATTCGGTTTGGTTTCAACGGTTTTTGATTTTATTTTTTCGGTTTTAGTACTAACCAAATATATTTTGGTTCGATTTCGATTGAGTGTCTCAAAAACCGAAAACCAAAAATAAACCAAAAATAAATCATTTAAATACTAAAATTAAGATAAATATGATAAAATATGTAATAAAATATAATATATTATTAAAAAATAATTGATTATTATTTATTTATCAAAAATTGAAACCGAATCGATTTAAAATCGATTTATTGATAACCGAACCGATCGGTTTTTTGATAATTTCGGTTCGGTTTCGGTTCTCAAAATTAGGAAAAAATATTTCGGTTATTTCAAAACCGGTTTCGGTTTTAACCGAAACCGGTTTTTGCCCACCCCTACCACTGCCCATCACTCCAATCACATCTCTCTTCCCAATACTTGGCCGTGCACTGTCCACGCACGGCTGGTCGGAACCAGACGACAGACAGTCTATCCCGACAGTGCACGACTGATGATGCACACATATATTAAACAATATATATAGTACATGAGATATTAGCTTAGATTAGTCACTTTTAAATGATAAAAAAAAAAAAAATTAAAACTAGCTGGTGGATGAACTTTCGAGAAAGGTTAAAATGATGAAATGATTCTTACCTTGATGAAGGAAAGTTGTCCGATGTCTTCAAGTACTCGATCGGCTGCTGTGATCTGCTTTTGCTGAGCTAGTCTTGGGCTCTTCCCTTTTATAAAAGGCTGTCTGTCCATGATATAAACGCGTACCAGCTTGGCGAATAAAGTGTACGGTTGGGAGTCGGTGCGGTGGGGCGCGGCTAGTATCTTCCCAGAACCAGAAGCGTTAAGCCCGTGGTTGTGGCGCCGCTGAATTTTGACGACTTGACTCGTAAACGAAAAATAATTTTTTTTCTATAAGAGGAAAAGAGGAATTGATTAGGATTACGCGTCAGTATGT